TCAGCCTCAGCCCTTGGCCAGCAGCGCTCTGGTGTGGTGTTAACCATACCTGCCTGGCACGGGGCAGCGTTCCCTTCTCTGCCAGCACACCGAGGAGCAGGGAGGGATTGGGTTAGCAGTGCCCTCCCGCCTGCTGCTGGCCAGTGCTCCTTCAGGGAGAGGTGGTCACCCTTGCTCCTGCGGCTGCCTCTTCCCGACAGCCCTTGCCTGACTCAGGGGGGATTTAGTCCCGGGCTGGGGGGAGGGAAAGACGTTAAACAGGCTTTTCCCTAATGAGGTGTGACGCCAGCTGGAGAGGGGGAGAATCCTGCTTTTCTGCTGTCTGTTGCTCTCTACAGCTACAGGAGGAGGAGATGTGGTCGTCATCCCCCCCTCTCCTCTGCTGATTTGCTGCCTCTTCTCTTTCCTTTCTGTGCCGTCCCCAAAGCGTTTTGGCAAGGTTCAGATTTCTGTGCTCACAGCTCAGTGCTCAAAGAGAAAAGGGGAAAAACAAAAGGGTTGGAGGCGTGGGGAGGATGGTGGCTGGGAGGATGGTGGCTGGGAGGGAGCCCAGCCGCTCGCTGCTTGCCCTGGCGAGGCTGTGGGGACGGGTGCCCAGGGCAGGGTTTGCCCTGAGGTCCAGGGGGGGTTTAATGGTTTCTTTCTCTTGGGAGTCCCTGGCATTACTTCAGCTCAGATGTGCCACCCAAGCACTGTGACACTTTGCTGGCTGGCCTTTGTTGGAGGGGAGGGCTGGAAAAACAAGGTTTATTTCTCCTGGGAAATGTGGGCTGAAGCCTTAGGTGAAAACCCAAAGGGATCCTAACATTTTGTTTACAGTCCTAAGATGTTAAGATTTGCATCGCATCCTCCTGGTTCCCTGCATTCCCACAGCATCCTGGGTGTGTGGAAAAAGTCCAGGATTTAGGTGGTTCGGGGGAGGAAGCTGGAAAATCCGGTGGGATAGTATTCAGTTAAACAGGGCTAATGGATCTAGTTCTTGGAAATTGAAGCACCCCTCACTGATCTTGCCCTATCACAAGCAGCAACAGAAAACAGTAGACAAAAACTTTACAGGACAATGTCAGTATCTTTTTTTTTTTTCCAGTAGTCATGGTAATACTTGGACTGTGCCTTTATCATAATGGACTGGTACCCAGTGTGCTATCAGTAGAAATCAGAGTGGGCTCCAGACAGCACCCATGGCATTGGGGAGCACAGCAAGCACCTTTCTGCAGAGGTGCCTTTTAGCCTCACGCCTGCTAAAGATGCTTCATTAGCCTAGCGATGTGTCTCTGTGGATTAATCCTGACTTGTGCAAGCATCCCCTTAACCCGACTTTGCACCCAGCCCCGCACTGGTCTGTGTGCCCGGTGCCCCTGTTAGCCAGTGGCTGCAAGATCCACCAGATTGGGTACGCAAATCAGTGCTACACATGCTGAAGGCAAGGACAAGGAGCGCCCACCTGGGAGACAAAAGGCAGCAAGTGAGGGGCAGGGGGGGAAATACGCATCCAGGTGTTTTGGGGAAGGCTGGTGGTCCCTGCCCAGGAAACAGCACCTTTCCTGGTGCCCGAGGAATGTCCCCCAGGATGACCCAGTGGCTCCAAAAAGGTAAAGGTCACTCCTGGGCCTGGAAAACAATGGCTGCAGATAGGGGCTATCTGAGCTGGTTGTGGCCGCTGCGTAAGGAGTGTTAAGTCAAACAGCTGGCTGAAAAGGCTCACGGGAAGCAATTTAAATATTCCTTCATACAAAAGGCTGTCCCATCCTAGCAAAGACAGACTGCTGACTGACAGCTTTAGTGCACAAGTGTATGTGGATAAGGCTGAAGGGGGGGGAGAGGGGGAGCATCCTGGAGCCTTACTTTCCCCCACCCTTTACTTTGGGTCCTAACGTGTCATTTTTCACAAGCTGTGAGTTTACTGTGGTAACACATCTGGGATGTTTTAGCACACTGCATACTTTGGGTTTTGGTTCCCCCCTCCTCAGGTGTATTTTGTTAAAAGGCAGATGCCCACTAAAGTAATTTCCAAATAAAATAAGTCAACACCTCTAAAATACTCAGTGCTGAGTGAATTTACTCAGTAATTGCTAGCTATAAAGTATGATTAATATTTATACAACAATAATATGACTCTATCCAAGGAATGGCAAGCAGCAACAGCAGTTTTTGTGTTAACTTGTCGTTAAGCAGGGTAGTCATCTAAAGGCCAGGACAGAGATTTCATAGAATCATAGAATCATAGAATAGTTAGGGTTGTAAAGGACCTTAAGATCATCTAGTTCCAACCCCCCTGCCGTGGGCAGGGACACCTTACGCTAAATCATATCACCCAGGGTCTCGTCCAGCCTGGTCTTGAACGCTGCCAGGGATGGAGCATTCACAACCTCCCTGGGCAATCCGTTCCAGTGCCTCACCACCCTAACAGGAAAGAACTTCTTCCTTATATCCAACCTAAACTTCCCCTGTTTAAGTTTTAACCCATTACCCCTTGTCCTATGACTCCAGTCTCTAATGAAGAGTCCCTCCCCAGCATCCCTATAGGCCCCCTTCAGATACTGGAAGGCTGCTATGAGGTCTCCACGCAGCCTTCTCTTCTCCAGGCTGAACAGCCCCAACTTCCTCAGCCTGTCGTCAGAGCCTTTGCCAGTGAAGACCGAGGCAAAGAAGTCATTCAGAACCTCAGCCTTCTCCAAATCCTGTGTAGCCAGTTCTCCTGAGAGCTTCCTGAGGGGGCCTACATTCTCCCTAGTCTGTTTTTTATTTTCTGTGTACTTGTAGAATTCCTTCCTGTTATCTTTAATACCTCTAGCTAAGTTTCATTCTAACTGGGCCTTAGCTTTCTTAACCTGGTCCCTAGCTTCCCGGACAGCATCCCTGCACTCTTCCCATGCCACCTGTCCTTGCTTCCACTTATTATAAGCCTCTTTTTTCATTTGAATTTTCCTCAGGAGCTCTTTATCCATCCAAGGAGGTCTCCTGGCCCTCCTGCTGCACTTCCTTCTGGTTGGGATGCAACACTCCTGAGCTTGTAGCAGGTGATCCTTGAATATCAACCAACAGTCTTGGGCCCCCTGCCCTCTAGGGCTATATCCCATGGAACCTTCCGAAGCAGGTTCCTGAAGAGGCCAAAGTCTGCTCTTTTGAAGTCCAGGGCAGTGAGCTTGCTGCACGCTCTTCTCACTGTCCTGAGGATCTCAAATTTGAGCATCTCATGATCGGTGTATCCAAGGCTGCCCTGGAGCGTCACATTTCCAACCAGCCCTTCCTTGTTGGTGAGCACGAGGTCAAGCATGGCACCTCTCCTTGTCGGCTCCTCTATGACTTGCAGAAGGAAGTTGTCTTCCACACAATCGAGGAACCTCCTGGATTGCTTGTGCCGGGCCGTACCGTCCTTCCAACAGATGTCAGGGTGGTTGAAGTCACCCATGAGAACAAGGGCCTGCGAGCGTGAGGCTTTTCCTATCTGTCTATGGAGTGCTTCATCCACAGGTTCTCCTTTTTGTGGAGTTAGCTCCACAGCAGGAATGCTGTTAGGCTTTGGCTGCCCATTGCCCTTTCCTTTCCTTGAGTTTCCACGTGTATATATACGCGTTGACCTGGTTCTTGCTATGTTATATATATGTAGTTTTATATATATATATATGTGTATGTATATATATACACACACACACACACATATATATATATATAAGGTACTTCACAGTGCAGGTGTCAAGCTTCTACTTGTGAAGCACTTTGGATGCTGCACAGGAGGTAAGTAACAGCAGTGTTGATAATGAAAATATGCCATTAATATATTTCCAATAAATAACTACAAGCGGCATTTAATCTGCAATCTGTTATCAATAATTTTATTACTGCAGTTACTGTGGTCTAATAAAGAAGCACTTTCTCTTCTTTACTGGGTATGTGCCAAGACGTTTATCCTTTATTCTCTGGCCATTAACCTTTATTCTGTAGCCATTAGTGTAGCCATTTGTGTAACAGTCTGTTGAGTAACATTCAGGCAGGAATTTGTATTCAATCCATTATTTACTCTGCAAGCTAAAAAGAATAGCTTCTTAGGCTTATGCTGTTTAGCCATATTAAATCTTGTTAAGTGCTGTTTACTACTCATAATAAGTGTTATAGGAAGTGGATTTTTCTTACTGTGAATGATTTTCTGGCATATATATAGAACCGTAATTTAGCCTAGTAATATTTTGAAAGCAGCTTGACATTGCTAGCTGAAAAACAGCTATTGCTCAGAACATGTGAAATTTGTAATAACTACATTTCAAAAGTTTATCCTTTTCATGGATCAGTTCCTGCATCACACGTTGATGTGAACTGCATTGTGCTGAAGTAAGCTGTGATACTTCCCACCCCTTCATCAAGGGTTGAGGTGTTGGGTCATAAGGTCTGATAACCCTGATTATGCCTTTCTTTCTCTCTTAGTAGAGGAAGACCAAACCAAAACAAAGAAAAATAAGTGAAATAATCAAAATGCCTGGTTTATTTTGAGGCTTTTTCTTGCTGGCTTTTAGCCATTTCTGGCTACCCATCTGAAACTGCTACTTCTCTGTGTAAGTGGCTTTTAGGGCCACGCTTTCTGAGCACATCTTTTAAATGAACTCACCGGCCTTAGCAAATGGAAAGCAAAGCTGGAGAATGAAACTGTTGATTCCTGCCCATCAACTGAACATAGGAGAAATCATGGCTTTCTTATTAGGCTATAGTATCTCAACCTCACTGAACCCTATTTTAGAGTGTCCAGACAAAAGCATTAGTCTTATGGCTGGAGAGTGACATTCAGTAAAAGCCTTTCAAGGTCTTCTCATAAACTCTTGCAATGGAGAGGTAGTAGTAGCAGTATTTTTAATGATGGGTAAGGTTGGCTTACCTAGCATATGCTCTGCTGCTGTACATGTACTTGGGGCTGCTTGGGTCTTTTTGGTCCTGATCAGCTAGCAGTAAATTTTAAGGAATTAGTTTGATGGTTGGAATTGTTTTTTTCTCTCTTTTCTGCACATTAGGAACTGGAAGCTGCTCTTCACAGGGATGATGTGGAGTTTATCAGCGACCTGATCGCCTGCCTGCTTCAAGGTTGCTATCAGCGCAGAGACATCACGTGAGTAACCTCGCTCTGTGGCTTAAGCTCTTTGCAAGGGGAGCTAATTAACACTGTTGCAGGGATGTTTCACGGCTTCAGAGTGATGACATGGCAGTGATCGGCAGCCACCAGCAATCAGGCCAGATGCTTCACCAAGTGGAAGGGAATTCCAGCTCTTCTTGGGTCGAGGTTTTAATTTTACAGACCGGTTGTCAAGCAAACTTCTTTGTCCAGATCTGGTGCAAACATGTTTGATGCTGTGCTGTAGCACTGGTGCACACAGTGAACGTTCACATCTGCTGTTATGTTCTGCACTCTTTTTGGTCAAGTCAGTGATATCACACTTAAGTCTTTAAATAATCACAAGTTTTCAACATTCTACATATATTGCATAGAATAAGACTTGCTGCTCTGCAGACACCTCATTTGCATGAAAGATCCTGCTCCTTTGCAGAGGGACAATTGCAATTATTTTCTTAGAAATAAGAGGAGTATTGGAATCAGTTCAGTTGCAGGATGTTGGAAAGTGGTTTGACACCTTCTCTGGATGTTTCAGCATCCAGAGACACTTTGTTACTGTCCACCAAAATACACTCCCAAACTAAGATATCTGTAGAACATCATTCTTCAGAGAATTGCCACTCATGCAGTGCAATATGCTCCCAGTGATAAAAGGCTTGTTGCAGTATGTTTTATTTGTTCTCCTGTGAACCATGTTAATAGCAAAGCATATTTGTGGAGATGAAGACAGCTTGGCAACAGTTGCAGTAGCTTAAAAGAGGTGTTTAGCAGTCCTGATCACTAAGATTCCCTTGTTGTGCAGAGTCTTCGGCTGATGCATAGGCATAACCATAGATGCTTATATGTTTTATTCACCATAACCAGCTCAAACTTGTAGAAGCAGTGGAAGGTTTGTCTTTGATAGATTTCATTAATTCCACATTCTGAGCTTCTCCTAAACTCTCAGCAGAGAGTTTAATTGCTTATCCTGAAGGAATATATCAGGAAAACTGCCTGGAGCCATTGGGCTATGTTAGGGATGTGGGCTCTGAAGCTTTTCAGAGGAAGCAATGGGGGGAGGCTACCTGGAAACAGAGGGAAAGGTGCTGTATGCAGAAGGATGTCATAAAGGAAGAAGCACTAAGATGTAGTTTAAATACAAAAGTCTGAAGATAAATGAGAATGAAAGTGATGGCTTGGATACACTTCTCAGTGTATCCGCTTACAGACCAGCTACAAAATATTTATCCAAAATGAATGTGTGTTTTCAAAGCCTGAAATTCTCCTTGTTCCTTTCGTGTTTATTTCCAACATCTTTGTTCCCTCTAACCTGAGTCCAAGACACATAGTCAGTCCTTAGCAGATGCACAGCTTCCTTGCTGTATGTAGTTTGTCTTCTGTTAGCGTTAAGGAGTTGAGCCCATAATTAGTTTTATGAGTGCTCAGCAAAGACATGCAAATATAAATGTAAGAGGCAGAATTTGCGTGGAGTTTAGATTTGGCTTTTCACAATGAGCCAGGACTCCATATTTTTCTGTTGCAGAGAGATAGCAGGTATCTGTCTCGGGTTGGAGGAGTCAGCAGTGTCACAGATCATCACAGCAGCATTACAGCAGTGATTTCTCCAGTTATTTTGCCCCACTTTCTCATGCAAAGGCTGTGAGCTGTTAATCTTTAGGCTGTAAACTTTGCTCCCTGTTGCATCTCGGAGGGGAAGGTAGGAGCTTGTTCTCTCATCCTTGTTCTTGGAGAGCTACAGCTCAAGCACAAGATGCTTCATGTAACTTCATATAAAACATAGCTTACCTCTCCAAGGGGTTTTAAGGTTTAATTAGTTTTGTATTGTGTCTTACCTCTTTGATGGCCAAAATGTTATCTGCCTATGCTTTCTCACAGTCTGTCTGGGAGCAGCTTGTAGCTCTTGTCACATCTGTTTTGACGGCATGCAGAACTTGTGGCGGAGCTGGGCTGCCTGGCTTTAATCATGCATCATAGAGGGGTATAAAACTGTCACATACCTTTGCTAATTATAATGTGCTCTCAAGTAATTTTAGAAGTGGAACCTAGATGAGAGCCCTTCTAAAGCACAATTTATCATACTCTAGTTTGATTTCCTTTTTATTCCTTTTTTTTTTTTTTTAAAGAGATTAATACTTTTCTAGAGTTCTGTGATATTTGGTGTTGAAATAGAGCAACTTTGCCTTGTTTTCAATATTCTTTATAACAGACACTTTTAAGAATCCTGTACATGAGAGAGAGATTGTTTTTTACCCTGCTTGATGGTTAGAGGGTGTTGAGTGTCTGGTAACTTGAAGACTTTCTTTGAGCTATGGATATCTGTGTTTAACTGCAGAGACTACTTAATGGGATGCCACACGATCTTCTCCAAACTCTTATTTGTCATAACCTATCATAGTTGTTAGGAACACTCTTTGTTGACCTGGTTCTTGCTATGTTAAGCACTGTAGACGTACAGAACAGAAAAGACAGTAGTTTGTATTTCTGGCTTCTAACGTGTAGTGATGACCCTGTAGTTGTCTCTGCCTGGCACTGGGTGGTTTGAGCCCTTGTCCAGGACAGTTTCCCTGTTGCTCTCCTCTTTCTGCTCTGACCCAAAATACTTTTGTGCCATGATCTGCAGCTTTTGTTGTTTTATAAATACCCCTCATAGTATTTACACAACAACCATACTATCTAACTGTTAATGATGTAGTAACTGATGTCCTTGACACTTTTTGTTTGATCTCTTCAGTTTTATGTTATAGGCAGGGAGCATTTGGTTTGATGCCAGTGAGTTTACCCATACTTTTTCCCTGCTTCTAGCTTTTGTGCACAGGCCTTGATGTCTATGTTTTCTTTTAATTGTTTCAAAACACAAATGCCTGGAAAGTGGGGAGGGGAAAACTCTTAATAGAATGTGGGGGTTATAAAAATAAATTTAAAAAAAAATAAAACATTTGGAAAAAAGACTGCTGCTTGCTTCAGATCCTCTCTGATATAAATTGGGCAGCTGCATAGTCCCTAGGGGCTGCCACTTTAATTCCAGCAGGAAATGCAACTTGATGACTTGTATCAAGACAGGAAGATCAGAGCTTCAGCTAACGGCAGCAGCCGCAGCAGGAGCCTTCTGCAGCTGTTTTTAAGTAAGAAGTGATGGTGTGACATGGATGTGTACACTCAACTAAAATAATCCAGAAAAGCTCCTGTTGTTCAGCATTTCTCTGGGTGGAACTCATTCTTCACTGCTCTGTTACTGCACTGTGATGTGATCACATGTAATGTGATGGCATAAAATGTTTCAATGACTGTATCGTATTTCTCATTGGGAGGCATTTCATACAAGGTTATTGTCTCTTGGAAAACATTATAATTACTTTTTTCTTGTAACATGTTTTAACTTTTAGTTTTTCAACATGAACAGAGGTGCCAGAAAGTGAGGAACAAACACAACACTTCTGCTTCTGCCTGTGCCCCATGAGATTCTTTCTCTTTTTAAACCCCAAGAGGCTGGTCCTTCACTGTAGCTGAAAACTATCTAATTGACTTCTGTGGCACCATAGACAGCGTTTGCTTCCTTAGGAACCTCAATTATTTTTTTCCCTGTTATTTCTTCCCTTAATGCATTGGAATTTTTTTCCCGGGTGGATCATCTGTTTTGCACCCATCTTAAGCTCTTTCTGGATCTGTAAACTAATCTTGGAGTCTTTGGCTTGTAATTTGTGCCTGTTTGTTCTAATGTGGATAATAAGAGGATATTCCTTAACTCCTCTTCCCTCCCCTGCAATTGTTTTAATTATTCCTTTCATAGCCTTAGTGGTGGCATTGAGAAATACTCCCAGTGCGGCATCTGAAGAGCTATATTCCCTGCTTCTTGAATTGCCAATCAAGAATACTGCCTCTATTCTGCTGATTTTCTAATGCTTGTTCTGTAATCACTTATTTGAGCTTTCATCAGAAAGAGATAAGGGATAGTCTGAAATCTTCTAACCCATTGCACAAAATGCCCATTTCTGAGGACGTATTTAATAGCTCTGGGTATTTCTCTTCTCCCTTCTGCTTTGTCACTTCTGTCCACCCTTGTCCTATATTCTGTGCAGATTGTATCTTTACAGGTTACTGTGGGGTGTTACCCTAGGTCTCATGTTCTGTTAAAAGTGGCCTCTGTTAAAAGACTAAACATCCTAAAATTGCCTTTCTGCTGTCAACATGTGAGTTGTGTCCTTTAAGAACTGTTGTATGTTGGCTTGGTCTAAGGGATGAAACGGCAGGTCAACTGGGATAGTTGGCAAACCCGTGCCAACCTTTCAGTCTCAAGGATACTGTGGTGAACCGGGCTGTGGGAATAGCTAAGCCAAGGTACTAAGACAACCTGAATGAATTCAATGCTTCAGTCTGTGTCACAACATCTGGGGCAGCCAGCCTAAGCTCAGTCGCAGCAGACCTGAGGACCACCACTTTTCAGAAAGGGCTTTAACCAGCTGAATCTGGCAGTTGTGCTGGTGACCTTGATTATAACAACTGTTTCAGTGGCCCAGCCACAAAGCACTTCACTAACTCAGAATCATATTCATGAATGCCAAGTGAATATCAACAAGATCAGCATTATTTACAGTCTGACTTTTAACAAGTGCTGCCTTGCATACATCATGGAGATTGGTGGATGGCCTCTGGAATCGACCCAGTATCATCAGCACAGGAGATACCGTGAGGGGGCAAGGGAGATGAAGTGGCTGCATTTCTCATCTTGAATCTAATATTAATATTTATTATAATAATAGCCAAGCCATACAAGGTGAGCCTTTTAAAGGGTAAAAAGTGAAAATGAGGCAGCTGGCAGGTGTTGGGAAAGGAAGGATGAGATTACAGCAGTAAAATAACACGGTCATTCAGAGATTAATGAGAAGCACAGTGGAATAAAATTATAGAGTTCAACTATAAATAAAGCTAAGTAAATGTCTTTGATTCTCAGATGGATAAAATGAATCTTTAAAGAAGAATCCAAAGAAAAGTTGGTCGCA